TCACTGTATAAATCATATAAGCTCCACCTATGGGGTCCGCCGATAGCCACCATAAAAACATAGGTGCTCCACTCTCAATTTTTATTTGGGATCCTGCCATGTATTCTGCTCTATATGTTCAGGCTTAGCTTCTGCACAATATATCCTGCCATGTATTCTGTTCTAAATATTTATGCTTAGCTTCTGCACTATATATCCTGCCATGTATTCTGCTCTACATGTTCATCCCTATCAAAATTTTTAGTTGGTGGCGAGCCTGAATTAGGAACGGCCTAGGACTCGGACCAAACGTAAATCAGCTTCTATATGTCCGCTTTTTGGTCTACATTCCGGTCCCAAATCAGACAGCTACCAGAGCCTGGTGAGGGGACTGAGGTGATTCTGCCAACTTTTGCCCTACTCTCAAGAGACCATAGAGTCGGCCAGGAGGTTCTGACTAGTCGCTGATTGCGATCAGTTGGCAAACTGACCCAGAATAACTTTGCGCCGAGTGTAGTGACTATTCGGCCGAAGCCTAGGCGGTCCCCGAATTTTGTTAGGGATGCTTAGCTTCTGCTCAATATATCCTTTCATGGTTTCTGCTCTACATGTTCATGCTCAGCTTCTGCACAATATATCCTGCCATGTATTCTGGTCTACATGTTCATGCTTAGCTTCTGCACTATATATCCTGCCATGTATATATCCTCTTGATGTGACCGAGGTTTAGCGTATAAAGGGCCAAGAGAGGTGACACCGTAGTGGGCAGAGCTTTATTACGAACTGAACAATACTGTACAACGGGTTACCACAATGACTTATCCTGTTGCCATACAGGTAAGCTAAACGCTAAATGGTGATTACCACAACTGTAAATGGTGCTGTACAAGTTGCACAAGCCGATGAAGCTTTGCAGTTGCTTTACGTCTGACGGAGCAGGAGCCTCTGCAATGGCCCTGACTTTATCCGCACAAGGTTTCACTCCACTTTTGTCAAACACATAACCCAGATATTTCACAGAATCTAGGAAGAAAGCACATTTCTCAGAATTAAGTTTCACACCAGCCTCCCTCAGTGTGTTTAACACTTTGTCCAAAAGTATCACATGATCGGGCGTATTTGAAGACGTTACAAGTAAATCGTCCTGGTAGACAATCACACCGTCAATGCCAGCCAATGTCTGACAGATGAAAGATTGAAAAATAGCTGGTGAGCTTGCCAAACCGAACGATAAGTAATTTTACTGATACAGGCCTTCGCTGGTGTTAATCGTTGTGAACTTTTTAGAGCTTTCAACAAGAGGCAGTTGGAGGTACGCCATGAAAAGATCAATTTTAGAAAAAACTCTGGCATTGCGCATTGCATTAATAACGTCATCTATGGTCGGTAACGGGTACTGCACTGTCTTCTTCACCTTATTAATTGTCAACGAATAGTCTCCACAAATTCTAATCTGACCATTAGGTTTAAGGGGACCGACCTGGCAAAAATTTTCAATTTTGGCGTTTTCCACTTTTTGGGCTCATCTTAAAGCTTACTTTTTGACGCATCCAACGGTGCCAGAATCATCCCTCTACGTCGAAAAATGATTTCGTGACAGCTTCCCAAAGAAGGGCAGTTTTTAGGCCCTTTAACAAATGTCTATGGGATTTAATTACAGAGCTGGACAAACTAAAAGAAACGCCTGACGTAAAGCGGCCAATCATGGCATTATCCGGTGCTCATACTCATCTTAAAGCTTACTTTCTGACGATTCCATTGGTGGCAGAATCATCTCTCTACCTCCATTTTTACGTTCACCACGCCCCATGGAATGGGGAGTGGTGGGGGGGGACTTCACTAATTGCTAAGGCAATAAATAGGAGGCGTGACTACATATACTGTGGGATGCAACGCAATCTTTCAGTGCCTATCATGACAGCAAGGTGGAAGGTGGCAGCCACTCGCTCTACACCTTCCTTTCTTACTTTTAAGGCTTAGTTTCGGTATGTTGGCTACGTTACGACTCTTTTACGTCATTTTCCGTGCCGCCCGGCAGTCTTTTGGCCGTACTGAAAACCTCATACTGCTCTCACGGCAAATCTATCTACTCCTACAGTTTTCAAGCTACCGCAATGAGACATATACCATTCGATTTGTAAAGACCAGGCCTATCGACTCTAACATCACTTTTTTGAATTTTGGTCTGGTTCGTTTTTTATATGGGGAAGAAGGGGGGGGGAGGGGTGAAAAATGTAAAAAATGGGAAAAAAACGTCATAAAAAAAACTAGGTGGAAAATGAAAAAAGTGATGTTAGAGTCGATAGATATGGTCTTTACGAATCGAATGATACGTGTCTCGATGTTGTAGGATGATATTTGTGGGAGGAGATAGATTTTCTAAAGTACCCCTTTTTAGCCGTTTTCTATGAATTTCACGTTTTCTATCAATTTTTTCGAAAAATTTATACGAGCAAAATGTTTTTCTTTTTACATTTTAAGTATGTATGTGAAGTTTCATGATGATCGGATAATAACTGTAGAAGTTTCTCCGGGGGCAGCCCGGTCCCCTTAAGAACATTACCCGTTGGCGCAGCCCATTCACTACGATAGACTTTGGTTATAACGCCAGTCTTTTCAAGCCTACTCAATTCAATCTTGACAAGCTCACGGTAACGTAATGAAACAGTACGAGGTTTACAAAAAATTGCAGGTTCATCACTTGGAACATCAAGAGTTACAGGAACTTTGACACACGATCTGAAGTTTTTACACAAATAATCAGAGTATTTAGTGCGTAAATCAGACACGTTACACATTGAATTGATCGACTTATTTATACCCATTGGAACAGAAAGATTGATCCCAAATTTTCCACAACAGTCCCTTCCGAGCAAAGAAACGTGAGAGCCATCAACAACTACAAATGTATGAGCAATTGAAATATTACCTAAAAACTTAATAGCAAAGAAAACTCCACAAAAATTCATAGTATCTTCAAAGAAAACGTTTCGGAGTCTAGCTCCAACGTCAGTTCGAAAATTATAGAACACAGATAAATCAGTGATTAGTACAAGTCAAGAATACAACGAAAAGTTCCAGTTTCTGACAGTGATTTCAAAGTTTTAGCTTCCAGTTCCGGTGTTTCTGATTTGCGCATTTTAGAATCATTGTATATTTTTAAACAGAGGCCCAGTTTGAATTTAGCTTTTAGCTCTTACCCGCTTGAAATTGTGAATAGGCAGGTTTTGCAGCTTAGGATTTTCGTTGTATTCTTGACTTGTACTAATCACTGATTTATCTGTGTTCTAGAATTTTCGAACTGACGATGGAGCTGGACTCCGAAACGTTTTCTTTAAAGATACTACGAATTTTTTGGAGTTTTCTTTGCTATTAAGTTTTTAGTGAATTTGCGATTCAATGAATTTTTGTGGAGTTTTCTTTGCTATTAAGTTTTTAGTGAATTTGCGATTCAAGCAAACGAGTGATATTATTACTTAAATATTACCTAATTTGACTGAAAGGTCAATTTCACCTAGAAATTTGACATGGTTGCCACCATAATCTTTTGCACGTCGTTTGGTGCGTCTTATCCTACTTTCACTATTGTAGATTTCATTGACATTTATGGTTGATTAATAGGAACCAGTGTCTAATTCAAACTTTACAAGACTATTGTCAATTTCACATGATATTAATATCGGCTTCTCAGCGAGGGGAACTAATTGCAATTTGGGTCTAAAAAAGCATTAGGAGACTTACAATTATCGAGGGGCAGTTTGCCATGACTTGCCTTTACCACATTGATGTTACGGGTAGAACTCGCGCAGTGGTCAGAAGTCTCAGCGACAGCGTCATGAGGGCGACCCGTATAATCGCCAGAATAGATGCTTGCGTCAACAAGGCAATTTGCTGCGTAGTCTAATTGATCAACTTCTTCGGCAAATTCGTCCTCAGGATACGGATGATTAGTTGGTTTACTTTTATTTGTCAGCTTCTTCGCAGATCTGCACATTTTGGAGATATGGCTAGTTTTGGAACATGAAGTACATTTCGATTTCTTCTTTAAAGTGTAACAGTCACTTGCTCTATGTTTGCCTGCGGCTCCACATCTAATGCACTTGTATGACAATGGAATGCTAGCCCTGGAACCTTGTTCGTTCCGTTTCGGTGAAGTGCCGTGCGTAGTTTTGAGCTTGTAGTTTGCTGCATTCACAACACTTGGTGTGAGTTCTTCGACATCTTTTGTAACTTGTTCCACGATTTTGGCACGTTCAACACACTCCTGGAAAGTTTTATTTTCACACTCCACGAGCAGCGATGCAACAAGTTTGGTCGATTGCAAACCACTAACAAAAACATCCCTGATGAGTCTATCACGACAGCAGTTTGAGTACCCAACATGGGAAGAAAGTACATTAAGAACTTTAGCGTAAGATTCAATACTTTCGCCGGGCTTCTGCTTACGAGTTAGAAATGCTACCGCAGCTCCAATAACGAATTTCTTCACTCCGTAAGACGAAATTAATTGAGCTTCCAATTCTTCATATTTGACGTCGGTTAATAACCTTGGCTTCAACCTTCGTTGCAAGTCAGTCAGAATGTTAACAGGTAGGGCGTTTGCAAGGTACATAGTGGACAAGGACGAACCTTTCTTTGCATCAGCCGCAGCAAGTTTGTCACTATGTTGAAGTCGAAAACGCTGAATGAATTCTTCCACGCTCTCCACATCAGGCTGGAACATCTTCATGTGGCCAGTCATCCTCGTCGCCAAATGATGCGACCGAGGTTTAGCGTATAAAGGGCCAAGAGAGGTGACACCGTAGTGGGCAGAGCTTTATTACGAACTGAACAATACTGTACAACGGGTTACCACAATGACTTATCCTGTTGCCATACAGGTAAGCTAAACGCTAAATGGTGATTACCACACTCTACATGTTCATGCTTAGCTTCTGCACTATATATCCTGCCATGTATCCTGCTCTACATCTGTCTCTTATACACATCTAGATGTGTATAAGAGACAGATATATATCCTGCCATGTATTCTGCTCTACATGTTCATGCTTAGCTTCTGCACTATATATCCTGTCATGTATTCTGTTTTACATGTTCATGCTTAGCTTCAGCACAATATATCCTGTCATGTATTCTGCTCTACATGTTAATGCCTAACTTCTTCACGATATATCCTGCCATGTATTCTGCTCTACATGTTAATGCTTAGCTTCTGCACTTTATATCCTGCCATGTTTTCTAATCTACATGTTCATGCTTAGCTTCTGCACAATATATACAGCCATATATTATGCTCTACATGTTCATGCTTAGCTTCTGTACAATATATTCCGTCATGTCTTCTGCTCTACACGTTCATGCTTAGCTTCTGCACAATATATCCTCCCAAGTGTACTGCTCTACATGTTCATGCTTAGCTTCTGCACAATATATCCTGCTATTTATTCTGCCCTACATGTTCATGCTCAGCTTCTGCACAATATATCCTGCCATGTATTCTGCTCTACTTGTTCATTCTTATCTTCTGCACCATATATCTTGCCAAGTATTCTGCTCTACATGTTCATGCTTAGCTTCTGCACTCTATATCCTGCCATGCATTTTGCTCTACATGTTCATGCTTAGCTTCTGTGCAATATATCCTGCCATGTATTCTGTTCTACATGTTTATGCTTAGCTTCTGCACTATATATCCTGCCATGTATTCTGCTCTACATGTTCATGCTTAGCTTCGGCACTATATATACTGCCATATATTCTGCTCTGCATGTTCATGCTTAGCTTCTGCACTATATATTTTGCCATGTATTCTGCTCTACATGTTCATGCTGAGCTTCTGCACAATATATCCTGCCATATATTCTGCTCTAAATGTTCATGCTTAGCTTCTGCACCATATATAAATTGCCATGTATTCTGCTCTACATGTTCATGCTTAGCTTCTGCACAATATATTCTGCCATGTATTCTGCTCTACATGTTCATGCTTAGCTTCTGCACTATATATCCTGCCATGTATTCTGCTCTACATGTTCATGCTTGGCTTCTGCACTATATCCTGCCATGTATTCTGCTCTACATGTTCATGCTTGGCTTCTGCACTATATATCCGGCCATGTGTTCTGCTCTACTTGTTCATGCTTATCTTCTGCACAATATATCCTGCCATGTATTTTGTTCTACATGTTTATGCTTAGCTTCTGCACAATATATCCAGCCATGTATTCTGCTCTACATGTTCATGCTTTCCTTCTGCACTATATATCCTGCCATGTATTCTGCTCTACATGTTCATGCTTAGCTTCTGCACTATATATCCTGCCATGTATCCTGCTCTACATCTGTCTCTTATACACATCTAGATGTGTATCAATAAATATGCGCGTAACTGTATATCCTGCCATGTATTTTGCTCCACATGTCCATGCTTAGCTTCTGCACATCATATCCTGCCATGTATTCTGCTCTACATGTTCATGCTTAGCCTCTGCACAGTATATCCTGCCATGTATTCTGCTCTACATGTTCATGCTTAGCTTCTGCACTATATATCTTGTCATGTATTCTGTTCTACATGTTTGTGCTTAGCTTCTGCACCATATATCCTGCCATGTATTCTATTCTACATGGTCATGCTTAGCTTCTGCACAATATATCCTGCCATGTATTCTGTTCTACCTGTTTATGATTAGCTTCTGCACTATATATCCAGCCATGTATTCTGCTCTACATGTTCATGCTTTGCTTCTGCACTGTATATCCTGCCATGTATTCTGCTCTACATGTTCATGCTTTGCTTCTGCACTATATATCCTGCCACGTATTTTGCTCTACATGTTCATGCTGAGCTTCTGCAGAATATATCCTGCCATGTATTCTGTTCTACATGTTTGTGCTTAGCTTCTGCACCATTTATCCTGCCATGTATTCTGCTCTACATGTTCATGCTTAGCTTCTGCATAGTATCTGTCTCTTATACACATCTAGATGTGTATAAGAGACAGGGATATATAGTGCAGAAGCTAAGCATGAACATGTAGAGCAGAATACATGGCAGGATATAGTGCAGAAGCCAAGCATGAACATGTAGAGCAGAATACATGGCATGTTATATAGTGCATAAGCTAAGCACTGTCTCTTATACACATCTAGATGTGTATAAGAGACAGGTTATATAGTGCATAAGCTAAGCATGAACATGTAGAGCAGAATACATGGCAGGATATATTGTGCAGAAGCTAAGCATGAACATCTAGAGCAAAATACATGGCAGGATATAGTGCAGAAGCCAAGCATGAACATGTAGAGCAGAATACATGGCATGTTATATAGTGCAGAAGCTAAGCATGAACATCTAGAGAACAATACATGGCATGTTATATAGTGCAGAAGCTTACCTTACCTCACCTTATGACCTTATGATGAGTTCGGGACCTGTCTCTTATACACATCTAGATGTGTATAAGAGACAGGAATACGTGGCAGGATATATAGTGCAGAAGCAAAGCATGAACATGTAGAGCAGAATACATGGCTGGATATATAGTGCCTGTCTCTTATACACATCTAGATGTGTATAAGAGACAGGTAGAGCAGAATACATGGCCGGATATATTGTGCAGAAGCTAAGCATGAACATGTAGAGCAGAATACATGGCAGGATATATAGTGCAGAAGCTAAGCATGAACATCTAGAGCAGAACACATGGCAGGATATATAGTGCAGAAGCTAAGCATGAACATTTAGAGCAGAATACAAGGCAGGATATATTGTGCAGAAGCTAAGCATGAACATGTAGAGCAGAATACATGGCAGGATATATAGTGCAGAAGCTAAGCATGAACATGGCAGGATATCTGTCTCTTATACACATCTAGATGTGTATAAGAGACAGGTAGAGCAGAATACATGGCAGGATATATTGTGCAGAAGCTAAGCATGAACATGTAGAGCAGAATACGTGGCAGGATATATAGCTGTCTCTTATACACATCTAGATGTGTATAAGAGACAGGCAGGATATATAGTGCAGAAGCTAAGCATAAACATGTAGAGCAGAATATATGCTGTCTCTTATACACATCTAGATGTGTATAAGAGACAGGATATATTGTGCAGAAGCTAAGCATGAACATCTAGAGCAGAATACATGACAGGATATAGAGTGCAGAATCTAAGCATGAACATGTAGAGCAGAATACATGGCAGGATATATAGCTGTCTCTTATACACATCTAGATGTGTATAAGAGACAGATGTAGAGCAGAATACATGGCAGGATATATAGTGCAGAAGCCAAGCATGAACATGTAGAGCAGAATACATGGCAGGTTATATAGCTGTCTCTTATACACATCTAGATGTGTATAAGAGACAGTGATTAAGCTAAGCATGAACATGTGGAGCAGAATACATGGCAGGATATATAGTGCAGAAGCTGTCTCTTATACACATCTAGATGTGTATAAGAGACAGCTTAGCTTCTGCACAAAATATATCCTGCCATGTATTCTGCTCTACATGTTCATGCTTAGCTTCTGCACAATATATCCTGCCATGTATTCTAATCTTCATTTCTATGTATTTGTTCTCATTTTAGTTTAAATTGTGTAAAATCTAAATACTATAATTTATGCTGTTTTTTTAACAATCAAAACCAATTATCATACATATTTAAAAAAATTATTCTAGTAATTACTCCAAAGAACTTGGACCATAAATGCCTACATACTCGTGTCTTCTTGTCTTATGAATGTAGTGAAACATTCACGCCATCGTGCCCAATTCTCCCTACATTTCTTTCACCTTGCGTAATTGCCCTCGCAATAAATTTCTATATTATGCACAATATGCCCACACAAATATTCTATACTAAATTCAACTACGCATATTATCCCCGAGCATGCGTTCTTCACTGCAAAGTTAATAATAATAATAATAATAGTTTCAGCTTTTATTAGGCCGTAGGCCTGTCGCCGATTCTTAACATCGCAGAATATTCACAGCATCTTGAGGTCTCGAACTCGCAACGCACTGCTACAATTCTGCTGTGCTTAACCGCCCGGCCTCTTTGCCGATTCTGATCAGAAACCGACGCACAGAGCTGGGATCGAACCCGCGCCTCTCTATAGTGCGTCAATCTTGGTACTCTGAACTTTAACCACTGGGCCACCCTGCCCAGGTGTTCGGCAAAATTAACTTGTATTCTTCAGTTTAATCAGCACTACTCATACATGCTTCTGTTCTCACAATATCTTCTCGCGTGTATTATTCCTTATGACTTTATTTTTATATTACATAGAACAGAAATACGGCAATAATTGTCTTTACATGTTATAAAAGTCCCGTGGATTTTTTACAGCACCTCGTAAAATTTCGAAAGAAGGCGCACGAGTAAAACCGACATAAACTATAACCACTAAGGGAGCAAATGTCGCTGACCTGGAGCCCTTGAGGCACTCCAGCAGGTCGTCGCAGGGCTCGGGGCTTGCTGTCACTCCTGCTGGTGCGATGTTCAGCTTCAGTTGTCCCTTGTAACGCCGCGCCAGGTCAGACCAGCTGGTGCCTGCAGCGCGCAGCACCGCAGCTGACATCTTGATGTTGATGACTCGAGGTTGCTGATGTGGCAGCATTAGTGCAACTGCCATCACGTCTCCAGCTGCGGACGAAGGATGAGGATACTTGTTGCCTGATGTGGCGTGAGCTTGGGTGGAGCGATAGAAGGATGATAGGTGAAGAGGTATGTTGAGTAACGTAGAGAGGTAGAGACAAGGATGATGGAAAAAGAGCGAGTTGAATGGAGTTGATAAGTAAATAATGAAGTAAAATATGAGAGTGGGTAGTATAAAAGCATCGCTACCATGTGCATAGGAAGCCAACCATCCCTGTCTAGAAAAAGGATACAAATCAAGATAAATATAAAGAGACAATTGCAGAGGAATGTGATAAGTACGGAAAGGGAAGCTAGGTAAAGAGAAAGAGAGATTTGAAAGGAGAAGAGAGCGATTATATAAGGAGAGATGAATGATATGGAGAGAGGAACGATAGGTAAGGTGAGGGGTTATTAGCTGAGGGATGATAAGCAGAAATAGGGATGATAGTAAGAGAGTGGGATCAAAGACAGAGAAAGATGAGTTTAGAGAGAGCAATGACATGTAGAAAATGGTACGATTGTCAGAGAGTGGGATGCTATATTGAGAGAGGGATGATAGGTAGATCGAGAGGGATGATTAGTAGTGTCAAATGATAGAGAGAGGAGGGGGGGGGTGAACGCTATTCTCTTCGTGCAGCCTTGGTGATCGCTCATCAGAACGGTACCTAAAATTAAAATATTATGTTTTATGTAGCCTGTGCGAATATATGTTTATAATTAGGGCATTGTCTATATCTTATCAAGTTGTTTAAATCGTGTTTTTTTCTATAAATAAAACACTATCAATGTTGAATTTACTTTCCGTTGTTTGTTTTGTTATTAATGCGGACTTTGTTTTGCTGTATAATATTTTTAATCGGTAAACAAAAGAGATCTTATTAGGAACACAGGACGCTTTAGCTCATTCTAGTTTATTTAATAACGGAAATTGTAATGGGAATTTTATTATAAAACATTTGATTTGATTATAAATGGAAATTTGATTATTTTATCATAAACCCTTCTATCCATATTCATTTCCAGTGCAATTCGTCTTCACTTGGTTACAGTACGAAAACTGGTAAAATATCGGGCTGCAGTAATGCAGCATTGTGACTCATTCCACTTTCTTCAATACCCACTATATTATATAGTATAAACTATTATTATCATTACTGACACTACCAGCCAGTATTACTGCTTGGCAGTGGAAGATCGGTCAAAGTTTATATGATGGTAGCAGAGGTGGAGAATACAAAAATAAACAAATAGAGTGATGCACACACTATCTGCTGTGGTATAAGAATTTGCATTCAGGTTTATAAATAAGTATCATATAATTAAATTTTCTTATAATTATTTCCTGATTTACATTTTATTTTCTGTTTATTACTCCTACAGAGTATTCATTTCTGATCACATCTTCCTGTTTATCTTGGACATTAAGAAGAAAAATTTTTGTTAGCCTAACGGTCTTTAGGAGGTGCGTGAATTCAGCAGTAAAAGCAGGCCCACAGATAAAAGGGAACAAATAATGAGAGGAACTAAAAGTTCCTTAATGAATCAGATTTCATTGTATATGAGACTTTCATATCCTCCTGAATGACAACCGGCCTGGGAATAACTGGCCTGTAATGATAGTAATGGCCTGTAAACAACTATCAAGAATCAAGAATCCACAGAGATTCTTGATGGTACAAAAGCAGAAGTAAAATCTCTCAAATATTAAAGGTACTCAAGAAACAAACTACCTGTATTGATGCTCCAACTGTCACTGTCTGCCAAGTAGACTCCAGCAATCGCTGCAGCAATATGCTGCGAGTCAGGACAGTTCAGCAAGATTTTCTGCCAGTAATGCAAGCCAACGTCTCCCACAGCATCGCGCAGCAGCTGCCAGTTATTCCAGAAGACAGTGGACTCCTCAGCAGCACTCAGCTCCATGAACACACACGTGAGCACTTCAAGCGGCCTGTTTATATTATTCGTCAAATATTATTAGTCAAATATTATTAGACAAATATTTTTAGTCAAGTATTATTAGTCATATATGATTAGTTAAATATTATTAGTGAAGGTCATCTATATCTAAATCGCATGAAAAATCATCATATTCATGTTAAAATTTATCAAAATTATTTTGAACTTTATAAAGAAAACATCATGTACATGTACAGGTACAGTTACAATGATTGTTGAACTAACATCATAGTTGTGAAAACTTCATTCACTTGCATTTTAGAACAGCACTGGGAGAAAATATGTTAAGTAAGACATTTATTAGCTCAAATTTAAGTAGTGAGACCTAAATTAACTAGGTCTCTCTACAAAAATTATTAGTTAGAAAATTTAACCCTGTGAAACGTAGGTGGGATCAGGTCTGATAAAAATATGGCTGAATCCTCTAATGAACACCTCATGAGTTTTCTATCTCAGAGACAGTCTTAAGAAAATCAATTAAATCTTTCTCAACAAAAAACTCACCTGACATTTTTCAATTTTTGTGGCGTCAGGACGGGCGGTAATGCATTATTCTTACGGAGCTCCATTAAGACAGGCTTGGAAGCAAACAGTTCATGTATGCTCTTGTGATGAAAGAAATATGTACACGATTTCGAATTTTTCATTGGACGTTTTATTTTCAAGACAGCACCCAGAAGAGCATTAGGGTCAAGCGTCCCAAGCACCCCATATTTTTCGAGTTTTGATCTGATACTGCGTTTCAAATCGACGACTTCATTTTCAGGGAAAACCAAATGACAATCACAAATCATCTTCAAGGAGAAATTGCTCAAGTCTTGGAAGAAAGAATCGATGAGGCCATCCATGTCAACGGAGTGGTCAGCCAGCTTTGACTGAATAATTTTCTCATACAGATCATATGTGACTTGAGCTACAGCAGCATGAGATTTCAAATCATTTATCCTTTCAGGAAAGTTCCAGACCAGGTGACAAAAGAGAACCAAATTAATTGGACGAACAAAAAGTTCTTGAATGTTCCGTCCAAGAGATCTGAAGCTCTTCACAACTTTCTCAGCACCTGGAGGAGCATGTTTTTCATACTTCTCCAGAAATCTCAATTGGTCATCTAAAAGACAGATTTCTGATATCTCGTACTCTTGGAACTTCACGCCTTCTCGCTTCAGAAAATTCTTGAGCTTTTCAGCCGCACTTGGCCTGGTGGTGATGATCACACGACACTCATGTTTCCTCATTTTGTTCACCATCTGTTGCAAAACCTTATACGAGTCTTTATGACATTCATCATAGCCATCAATGAGAATCAAAGGGTTAGACTCGGTGATTCCTTGGATAACAGTTTTAGGGCCGAGTTTCTGGCACACTTTTTCGAAGTTTTCTTCTACAACATCAGTCAATTCTTTTACAGAAACATTCCTGCATTCATAATAAAGTAACAAATTGTGATTCTTCAGATCGGTCATTTCTACCTCTGCATCTGAGATACCATGGTGCTGTATCACCAAGTTCTTGGTCAAAGTGGATTTCCCAGACCCTGAGTCGCCAATGACTACTATAAACTTATCGTTGCCAGCGAGGAGTTCAGTGTAGGAGATCTTGTCTTCGGTTTGATCTTTAGGTTTCTGTAGTGTCAATTCCAGGGAATGGAAAACTTTCGAGCGTTCAACTTTGTCATCGCCAAAGAGCAAAATTTCTTCAGACAACATCGCTTCCCACATGACTTTGGCTTCTTTGTTTCCATAAGTTTGCAGTAAGAAGCAACAATAAGCCTTAACTTTTTCATTATCTGCGCGTACTTCATCCCACATCCCATCTATTTGAGTTTTGAGACTTGTAACTTCATCAGCAGGGATGCTGTACACTTCACCAGCTTCATTTATCACATCATGCATGACTTTGACAATTTCATCAAACTTCATAGGATTGACAGCATCGTCAGCGACGTGCATAACAGCATTTCTAATGTCTTTGGCCTCTTTCAGAAGGCACTCTAGTTGACTGAAACTTCTCAGAGGACCAATGTGCGTGTATAATACTTTTAATTTGAATATCTCACACAAAAAAGTACACATTAGAGTCACGTCATACTTTGAAGGTTCTTCCAGTAGATTTTCCATTACCCATGTGGGTAGTCCAATCTTTGGGAGTTTAAATCTATTGTTCTTTTGTGCCACCAGGGCAGCATGCCGGTCTTCGTATTGCTGCTTCTTTTGTTCAAAATAATCAGCAAATGTTTGCCTTTGTTGCTTGTCGCTGCATTCCCAGTTGAGTATGGCACGGAAAACTTTACACATGGGACCTTGGACGGCAAAAATGTTCTTGTATCTATTGGCTTCCTGAGGTGAAAGCTCAATTCCTGGCACGAGAGACATGCTCTGAGTGATTGTAGCCATATTTGCCAGCTGTTGAGTTCATCTGAAATTAATGAAATAATAATTTATATCAATACAGTATATATGTTATTTTCCTTATGCTAGCAAATAAAATAGTTTCGAAGATAAATTGTGACGAGTGGTGGAAGATCTTGTATTATGATGTACGATACTCCTGCTTAAGGAATTTTTCGTTATATATTGTATGAAGTTGTAGTTTGTTATGGTTATTTATGTTAATGCTTAGTAACAATTTTGGAAATTATATGATAAAAGCATGATCAATAAAGAACCTTGTATGAACCGTAAATGAACGTAGTCTATATTGAGAACTTTTCACTATTAATATAACAAATAAAAACGAACTATTGCAGAGGTCTATATAACCAAATTTTTCTATAACAGATCACCTAATACAGAAAACGCACCAATAAGAGGATGTGGCAAAAAGGTTCTACTTCTCGGGCACATTCACTGTCAGTATCTTTTCTTCACCTTTTATTTTTGACGAAATTTAACAAAAGTTATTTTCCCTGATGTCGTTCAAAAATACGTCATTTAAAATTGTTTTGTTTCTAAATATTTGTAACTTTGTACTGTATAACCTATAACAGCCCCCACCGGTAGTGGAAGTGAGAAGTTCATCTCGTAAAATAATTATAAATGCAAATTCGTATCTGTTGCATCACCATCTTCGTCTTATCCGGACGATGAGTAAGCGCTCCGTATCTCTTATCAGTTAGAGGCAACTTTATCGCACCTCCAATACTGACGGTTACTTTCGATAAATTAAACTTCCACAACAGCCAGATAAAGTTAAATGGATGATTTGGTGAAATGAACGATCGTTCATATTAGACTAGACTTCAGAGTCTCTTTGTTGTAACTATGAACGTAGAGCGGCAAAACGTTGAACTATGAACGCAGAGCGGCAAAACGCTGAACCATGAACGTAAAGCGGCAAAACGCTGAACCATAAACGTAGAGCGGCAAAACGATGAACCATGAATGTAGAGCGGCAAAACGCTGAACCATGAACGTAGAGCGGCAAAATGCTGAACCATGAACGTAGAGCGGCAAAATTCTGAACACTTTAATATTAGACTGAGTGTGAAAACTTACCACATTGCTGCACTGTTCCGTTCACTTCGGTGTTCAATCAAGACAAATTACTAACCGAAAAACCAAAAAAGTACATAATTTTCGCGGCTTTGACTAAAAAAGAATGCTTTGACCAAATAATGGTTACAAATAATGTACAAAATAATAGCTACGCAACGTACATTGGAATTGCACAAAAAAAGTAATAAAATTTCAAAATTTTGTACGCGATGCACAACTGCTCGTGAATTGACAAGCAAACGATGGTGCATTATAGCTCAATCAGCAGGATCATTTCTCATCGAGTGTTGTATGATAACACATTCTTTTTAAGAGCATTCAGTTCTTTCAACATATGATATGCGCGTTATTTGTGGAAACAGGTGACTGTTGACACTCTGAAGTGGACTGGAGTTCATTAATTTGAGCTCACCCACTTTAAGTGTCACCGATAAAACTGATAAGTGGGGTAACTGCACAAGGTTTGGGTTCAATTCACCAGAAATCTTTCTCAAAATCATTCCCGCAGCCTTTCATCATTGCACTTCATCACCTCCTAAATCATTTGATTATGAGAAATACAAATATATATACAACACACTATAGATATTAAATAAACAATTCCTCGTTAAGTCGTCTCAGATAACCGCTTCAAATAAATCAACACTAATTGGTGCATTTGGCAGGAAGTTTTTGACATTCGAGAATACTCAATATTTTTTCAACAGAAAGTGCATTTTATCCCCTAATTTATTTAATTATTGAGCACGAATGCATACATGTAATTAAAGATATTTCAAGAATTAAACAAACATTTCCTTCACCTTATCATTACAGATATCCGTATTACCTTAATGAACTCTTCAAAATAAATTAACATTAATAGCTGGCACGCGTATAACTTTCCAACCTTGCAGGTCACCTAGCTTTTTCTCTATTGTTCAAATCTCGAACTTTTCAAAATTTGCCAAACTTTCTTCTTTATTCTGGACACAAAACTGCACTGGACTGGAATGGAAACATCCAATTAGTATTGCCCTGGTGGGAGTGTATATAATGCCATCCCTTCCTAATTTCTATTTATAATTTGTCGTGATCACTCATAGACTTTATCTATTTTTTCGTAAGTGCTCATTCGCTCTTCTTTAATTATAGAAGAGAGCCGATATCACAAATCAAATCTTGGGCTAAGCCTATTCCTGTAGCGAAGCCACTTCAACTTTTGATCTTAAGCTCCTTGTATAATTATATATTCCGAACCTTATAGGGAGGATTAGTTCTTTCCAGTGATCAAATATTTAATTCATATTAGAGTCCGCCCTTACTTTGACTATCGTAATTTCCTTTTACTTCTCTTTTTGCCTCTTAAAATTGCTGTTGAAGCGCTTGGTGGTACAAGATTTTAAGGTAGGTGTGAGACTGTTACAATGATGAAATAGTGAGACAAAACGTTGAGCTCGTCCAGCTTTTATTTTGATTCTTAATTATTCAACAGCTACTTCAACTTCGTTGCTATAGGATATCCACAAATCCGGTGGGACACTCCAGTCAATTTTTTGGGGGGCTTACGGCGACTCTAAGCGTGCAATTCAGAGATGCTTCTTTTTTGAAGGGTGGGTAAATTCTTTGCTTCATAAGTTTGAATTCATTATCAATTATTAAAAATTTGAAGAATGTTATTGCTCTCCCTTAGTGTACATTTTTAAATATGTTTTTACCAATGTCTTTTGTTGTTTCTCGACAGTTATGTTAGCTTGAGCTAATTCGTTTTTAAGGTCGGCGAACCTCTAATGATACCGCTACGGTGCTATCAAGCCTAATTTCAGAACTTGGTCTCGTCCCAAACTTCTTTGTGCGTGTGCTTCCTCAAGCTTTGGTCCGGTCGTCTCTGGGATCAAGTTCTAAAATAAAAGTTCAATTCGTTTCGTGTCCTTGTATTGAGCCCATCAGTAGATGCGCCGACATTAAGACGTGCAAAAAATTACTAAGCGACGCATTGGGACACACCTACTGAGCCCACCGGTTGGACGAATGTGGGTGAGTGTTAGCGTGGTCCATCCTGGTTCCGCTTCGGCAAGCTTCTTTCCTCAATTCTTAACCAATCATTACAAAATTGAATGCACGCATTTCAATGCTCATTGCATTGTGGCGAGTATTTCTCTCTCATTTTTACCTCATCCCGTTTTCAATTAGAACGGTAAAACGAGTGGAACCATACCTAACCTAAATTAACCCAACCTAACCCAACTGAACACAACCTTACCTAACTCAACCTAACCTAACCTAACCTGACTGGAAACGTGCGAAGACGTGTCCGTGAATCCTTTTCGTTTCCTAAGTTCCGAACGAATTAGAATATTAAACTCTGGTCTTGCTTGAGCCGTGACAGAGGACGGACGTGACGTGTCGTATCGGTCCTGATATGCCTTTTTTCAATTGCCGGTTGGTGGCAGTACGCGCATCTTGTACTAAGTGTTTCAGTGAAATGTCTGAAATTCTGTGTGAAGTCAGTAATGAGAGCGTGTATAGAGAACAAAGTGGATATTGAAAATCATTTTACCGAATATCGCTTTTCCCGTTGAGTGTTTAGATTTCATTATATCGGCCCAGTTTGTGAGTAAATATCACAATTTTTTTACCAGTGAATTATTTCAGTAATCTCTTATATGAGAGAGTAAATGAACATACCAGAGAACAGTAAAACGTACCAGTAAAAACGGCAATAACAGCTTGTACAAGCCAACCATCTGGAGAATGCCTTGTATGCAAAAAACTAAATTATGGTAAATTTGCGCTGCGATGTAATTCGTGCAGCCTGTTTTGTCACTTTGAATGCTCTCTACTGCCAGTATACCAACTTGCTAGATACATAAAGACGAGTGTGTCATTAATCTGCAGAAAATGCGTAATGAATGAGAAGTGGTTCAAGGAATGTGCCGAAGTTGTGCGAGATGTCGCCGAGAGTGAAGAAATTCAAACTAGGCCTAGCGCGATCGCTTCCCTCGGCCGAAGCGCCCAGGCGTTGCCGCCCTCTATTCCCTCTACCCCCCGCCTGCTTCAACGCTGTCCGAAATCATACCCCGCCCCACTTTCCCTCCACTCGCACCCCACCTCTTGACCGCAGCCCAGAGAAGGATGGGGAAAGGGTAACCCTTCCTTTCCCCCACACTACACACACTCCCGCTGCCACTCCGTCTGGTCACAAACACATCTGCTGTAGGTATCTTCAGGGAAATTGCGATCAGGAAAATAAAGGACAGAGTTGTATGTATCCTCACCGTAAGATTTGTCAAAAATTTTCAATATTTGGAAGCAAAAACCCACGTGGATGTAAAATGGGAAATACTGCACAATTCTATCACCCGTTATTGTGCTGGAATATTATAAAAAATATAGCTTGCAAACGAGATAACTGTCGCATTCATCACCTTAGACTCAGCACGCAGGCGGGAAGAGATACCAAAGGGAGACGGGATTTTGATACTTCGTCCCCGGAACACCAGATAGACTCTACTGCCAAATTCAAAATTTCAGAAAAAATGCATTTGTCAAAAAACTCCTTTCTGGGAAGGGCGAATCTATCGTAATCAGAAATACAACAGGGCTGTCCTAAAAATTACCACACTGGACACCACATCCTACCGGAGTGGAGAACCACACAGAGAACACGATATCAGGAGCAGCAATTTTTCAGACCTGCAGAGGCAAGTAGATCAGATTCAGTAACAAATGCAACAACTGTTGAAACTGCACAAACAACAGCAGAAATCACAGCAACAAATGCAACAGCTGCAGAGCCAGAGACCCCTGGCAGTGCGGTGTTACATCAACTAAGGACGCAAGGAAGGGAAGAGTCTAACATCATGACAGCTAACATAGAGGGGCTCTTCCCAAGAAGAAAACGCCACAAGATCGGCGTA